TATGGCTTCCCATCAACTAAACAAGTTCAGACTGCATCCTGTTACTGTCTCACATGTCTCATCCTTCCCATTCTATTTCTCATCTATAACAAGAAACATGTTATCAATATGCCAATAAAATCTAGAGATTTTTTGTTCATCCTTTTTGTTGCTTATTCCTTCATCTTCATCTTCAAGTTCTACATAATTCATATACATTCAGTAATTTGGAAAGTTTTCTTTCCGCAATGCTTCTTACTTCAAAGGAAGTTTTTATATTTTAAGAGTATTAGAGGTAGTCCAATCATAGCATTTAACTTTCCATCCAAGAGACTTAGTTTTTGAATGCACAAAGTCTCCCAAAACCTGTCACCAATTTGATTTTCAAATATTTTTCTTCATTAATGTCTGCTTCAATAAAAGTGAACTGCTTGCTTTTTCAGATTATATAAAACTTTCTTATTTCTCTCATCATTTTTCATGCTATTTTCTCTGATCAGGAATGACTTTTTCTTCTGCCTGTTGAATTCTTGCATGCATCTGTTTAATCTCATTTAGTGACTTTCTGAAGTCTACACAATATGTTGCAAATTCTATAGCACTTTAAAAACTACCTAATTATTTAAAAAGTTATGTATTAGTTAATGGTATTATTTTGCCTTCAAAGATGCCTTACACAGAACCATATACATATATGTATATAAATAAACACAGATGTATACATAGTATAAATATATAATATTTTATTTGGATTTATTTCATATATTCAAAGTGATAACATTTATAAAGTTACTCATTAAGAAGACTGATGAAGTCTCAATTTGAAATTGATCATGAATGGCAGATATAGTCTGATACTGGTTCTCAATATATTAGTACTCTATTTTTGTCATGTAGCACTTGGAAATTACTAATGTATATATATAATTTTAAGTTATAACATTTTATGATTCATTTTGTAACTTCCAATAAATATAGCAACAAATGAGAATCTTAGAAAATATGTCTTACTAGTGCATAAAAACAAGTGAAGGTAAAAGTTATTGCTGGATTCATTGTGTTAAAATTCATTATATAACATGCTTGAGTTAGTTTTTTAAATACATATTTTCTTGAAGAAAAGATTTAAATTTATAGAAGGTATGAAGATAGTATGGGGTTCCCATATACCTTACATTCAATTTTTCCTTGTAATTGATATATTATTGATATGGTACATATGCTATTATGAAGAATCCTACTTTGATATATTAACATTAACTAAAATCCATACTGTATTTATTGAAGTTTACTTCTCTATGTAAGTGCATTAAACTAAATGAATTATATTTGAATAAAATTGTAGAATTATTAAAATACCTCCCTGGATAATTTCATTTCTGTGGAACACAACAAAAATCAGTTTTTTCTCTTTTGGTTTCATTGGTCTTATCTGTCATCCTAAGTCTACTCTCCCTTCTTCAAATAATGTTTATTGATAAAGAGATGCTTCATTTTTAATTCTTTAAATAAATAACTTTGCTTAAAGCCTCATGCTTATATTGCTCCCTGCTTGTATGGTCTCTTTTTTCTCTTTTTCCAGCTACTGGATTTTGATTAATCCCCTAAAACACAGGGTAAGAACCTTCTATTCTGTGGTTCCATTCCTAAAGATGCTAAAAGTCAGTCTATAGAGGTTTTAATATTGTCTTTTTTTTTTTGTACTGGGGATTGAACTCGGGACCTTGCACCCATGAGGCAGGCGGCAGAACCACTGAGTTAAATCCCCAGCCAATTTTTATCAAATGAAATACCCAAATATATATATATACTAACACTCACACACGCACACACACACACACAGGTATATATGTATGTATATTGAAATTGAATTTAACCATTACAACTATGAGCATTTTAGGCAATTATTGTAGACTTTATAATTTAATATTACAATTAGCATTGCTATGAAAATAGATTCAATAAAATAAGTAACATAATTTCTTAAGCCCTTTAATCATAAGAGATTATATTCATGTTAAAGTGTTGATTTTGTTACTCAAATGACCTCATTTTGATTTAAATTGCTAATAGTTTACAGCTCTTTAATATTTCTACCAGTAGAGAAAAGAGTATCACATTCCATTTTGTCTATTTGATTTTGATTTCTACTAAACAAAAATAATTACAGAATGTCACATAAAGTTTCTTCTTTCTTTTTTCTTTTTGGTAGAACTAACAATCTTGCTAAATCTTTCTTCACTTTAGATAGTGGAAGTATGACAAAATTGTTGCATAACAATGCATTAAATGAAAGTAATAAATCCAGTTCACATGTGGATTTCAATTGAAATTTTAACCCTCTAGCTCAATATTATACAGCTAAAGTATATTGGAAATAGAAAAAGGTTTGTAAACTTGTTAGTAATTATTAGTTTTCCTTGTAGCAGTAGTTATTGACATTTGTGTAGTAGCTAACTTTTATTGGTTTCATATTCATCATCTCATGTAATCCTGACAGAAATCCATTTCTATTGCAACTAAAAACATTATCTTTATTTACAGCTGAGGAAACTGAAACTCTGAATGATTAGGGGGTTTGACTAAGACCTTACAACCATTTATGTTGCAGAAGAAAACAAGAAATAAAATCTCAAAGGAACTCTGGAATAACGTCTTCCTAGAAACAAATTCAATTTCGTTATGTGAGCACTTAATATTTTCCAGATTACATGCTAGATTTGATGATGCAAAAAAATCTTGTTTCCTCTGATATCTAGTCAAGTTGTTTAAAAAATGTAATTCTACGTTTTTGGTCATTTTTCTCCTTGTTCTCATTAGTAAAGATACTAAAGAGCAGTGATATACCGAAATGTTGCATGTAGAAGATTAAAACAAAACAAATTTGGAGACATGAATTATGGAGAAAAATTTATGTAGGTTGCTGTAACTAACCTATTATGTCCATAATTGGGGCTGAAATAAAACAGTGGTAGCAGGAGAGTGACGATAACCCTGTTCATAATAGCCAGAATATAGAATCGAGCTAGATTTCCATTCATGGATGAATAGATATATAAAATGTGGTACATAATGAAAACTGAATAGCATGCAGCAATAAACAAAAATGGAATCCTGTTATTTGCAGCAATATGGAAGGAACAGAAGGATGTTATGTCGACTCTGGCACAAATACATATATTGCATGATCTTATCATATGAGAAAACTAGATAAGTTTATCTCTTAAAAGTAGAAAGTAGAGAGTGTTTACCAGGGACAAACAAGGGTAGGGAAGAACAGAAGATGGAGAAAGGTTGTTTATTCATTACAGAAATATAGGGAGGAGAATAAGTTCTAGCATTTTATAGTACAGCAGGATGACTATAGTTAATGATAATTTATTATGTATTTTAAAATAGCTTAAAGAATGGATTTTGAGTGTTTCCAACAGAAAGCAATAATAACTGTTTGATATTATATATAGTCTAATTACCCTGGTTTGACATTACATATTATATTTGTGTGTTAAAATAACACACCATGCAACATAATTATGTTAAATTATTATGTATTAATTAAAATAGTGAAAACAAGACAATTAAAATGGCACAGGTTTGACATATATATATATATATATCAAGAATTTTCATCAGAAACAATTACAGGAAATGAAGAAAAGTGTGTACTTGAGGAAAGCTATTTAAGGTACTCTTCCTCAAAATAAGGAGTGGCAATGGTACTAAGGTAAAATAAGAAGGAGGGAGTATAGTGTTACATTTTTATCAGTGCAAGCTTCATTTCTTACCACTACTCTCCATTCTCATTTATTATACCCTTATCTAAATTAAAAATTTGATTTCTCTATCTGTATTTTTCTTTCTTTGAGTCAATATTAGAATTCAGAAGCAGACATCTATTACATTTGGAAAGGGAATATTTTCAGAGACAATCAGCAGGAAGAGAATTTTTATGCCAGTAAATTCAGAAAAATATCACCAACACCATGTAGAAAGTTAAACAATAAAGCAGGAGAAAATACAGAAAATAAAGACAGACAAGAAAAGTTGGTGTTTCATTAAATGGAGCAAGGTATTTGAGGCTGAATTACAAGTACTTCATTTCCAGCTTCTCTGGCATCAGAACTACTTCTCCCAGCACGCAGCTTAGCATGTGAAATCCACTGGACACTGCTATATACAGAAGTGAGAGAGTCGACTAGCCTCATCTTGGGACAGTCTGGAGAAGAGCTTGAAAGTAATTTGTGCTTCAGAACAAGAATTTGTGAAGGAACAGGAAAAATTTGCAGTGCAAACAAAAGCTGTGTGCTTGTGGAGGAGGAGGTAATGAAGTATTGCTTTTCAGCGGACCAGTTCATGCCAGTATGGAGAATAATAAATTGTGTGGTTTCCCATTACCTACTCAGTACAAATTGTCAGTTTTGCTACTTGAAGGAAATCATGGACTTAATAAAGAGAAACTTGTTGGTTTGCCTGCTACCTGTACAAACTGACTAAATTATCAATCCAGGCAGCCTGCCTTCTAAACCAGTCTATCGCACTGTGCGAGGGTCACTTAGGGACTCAACTCTGTCCTTATCCTCCATCTAGTATACAACGCTCTACCTTAAATACAGACCCAGTTCTCAACATTTCTACAAAATTCTGCTTTAAAAGCTTTTTAAAAAACCTATTTTCCTAAATGTCCACAAAGGAGTTACTTTACATTTTTTGATCAATTAGCATTAAAAATAATATTGGTCACTTGCTAATCATAGATAAAATAGAAAATCTTTTAAAATTGAGAAAAATTAAACACTTTGAAATTTCCATGATACAAAGAAATAACGAATATTTCATCAATAATGAGAAAATTTAAAAATGTCTTCCATTAGCTATTTTGTTATTTAGTTACATCTTTTGATCTGAAACTCAGATTATTGTAACCGATCATATAAAATTTTATGACTGTTTTGTATAATTGCATGCATACTTTGTTAAATTTTCAACTAAAGAATAAAGTATTTGGTGCAAATGTCACTAACCTCTATGGGAAAGCAGTTTGTCAAATGATTCACCCCATTTCACTGCTTCTTCAGGGGAGACACTGTTCAAGAAACAAAATGTTTTATAATGGAGCGTGCAGAAAGTCTGTTTATGAATCTGTTCAAGCATATGATATATTACTGCTCTTTTCAGCTTTTTACAGGGTTTGTATTTTGATTTTTATATCATGAAAGTCAGAATTATATTAGAAACTTTAAAATAATTGGTCAATTTTCTTTTGAAATTTGCCTATTGAACAATGTGTTAACACTATGGATTTCCTCATGGGTGTAATTTTTAAAGGAAGAAGATAATTATCCATTAAACAGCTCTGGAGCAAATAAAAATGATTCAGTAAACTATCTTTAATTCAACAACAATGAAAACCTAAACTTATAAAATGTATCCCTCAGTCAAACTTTTTTCCTGCAATTTCCTTGAAGCTCTAACCACAGTATGCTGCAAGTTTTTTTTTTTTTCAACAGATACAGGAAGTTTAACTAAAGAAGTATCAAAAGGATATGAAATATAAAACATTTAAAAAAATTCAACAAATATTTTAGTGATGTTGATAATGTAGGAAGTTGAGTGTTTTCCTGGTCATATTCAAAATTGGAAGATTTGTAATAAAATAATATCCAAAGCTAAGGCTATTCTATTTTGTTTGAATTAAATGATAAGAATAGAAAATATCCTTTATTTCTGCATTATTAAACTGCATTTTCAAACAACTGAGGAAAGAGATGAGTTCTTTTCTATGACATTTCACTGTGAAAAGATATTAATATAACAGCTTATATAAAGTAAAATATAGTGTTTAAAATTGACATGTATATGTTTTAAAGACCACATTTAAATATTCATATAATTATTTAATTCAACCTATGTTTTTAAATTTTAGAATTAGTCCTAGTTTATCAAACTGAGATCTCTTATTTTCCTTATTTCACTATGTAAATTCCAATAAAATATAAATCCCCTATTTCCTCTTTTCTCAATCTTTAATTGCAGAATTAGCAAAATCTCCCCCTGAACATCAAAAGTTAATCACCTCGTTTCTTTGGCCAAAGGCCCAGATCTACTGGAGTGGGTCTCTTCATGTAACTCAGCTTTCTCAACAAGAAGACTTAGCCTGTTTCTTTTTTCCTTAGCTCTGTAAAAAACAGCACTAGCTTCAGAACAATTTATGTGAAATGTAAAATTCCCTCTTCTGCCTACCAAACAAGTGTGGAATTGGTAAATACCCACCCACATACTCACAAATACACCCCCCACACGCACATTCACAAACCTTTTTGAATAATATTTAAATGTTATGTTTGCAGAGGAATTAGGAAAGCATATGTTAAATGTTTCTTTTAGCTTCAGGACAGATAAATACTTGAGATAATATTTCAGCCAAGATTATTCTTGTTCTTTGTGTGGGTAAAATTGTCATACTTTAAAAAAATGAGAATACTTTAGATTTAAGAGTTCTTCACTCCTAATAAATTTTAAAAGTTATTTTTCTTTCTGCACTGGAACAATTAATATATTTTCAACCACATATTTCAAAAGTAAGTGCTAACAAATAATTTAACATCAATCATGTTTTTAAAAGCATAAGACAGATTTAAAAATTTATAGTTTTACCTGATTTTGGCCTCTTTGCTTGTTTCTTCTTTTCCTGTACCATGTATGAGCTTGAAGAAAATTTTTTCTTTTGATTCACACATATTTAAGTGAGAAAACTAATGATGTTTCCATTTTTTACCTCCAAAATAAGGAGACATCTAGTTTACTACATTGTTCTCTAGTTCATGGGTTAATGCTATACCATAGTTATAAATGGAAGAATAAAAAGCTGTCTCAACTCTATCAGTAGTGCTCACACATACACGCGCACACACACACAGACACACACTCACACACACACACACACACACCAAGTCAAGAGCTGTGTTTCTGTCTGTGCAAGAATGTAGAACTGAGGAACTGAAGTACAATTTTGACCTTAGCTATTTAGGGAAATGATATTACACATTTGCAAAATGACTCTTGGTCTCCAAGATAAAGACTGGTATTACCACAGTGCAACTTCTCTTTCAAGTTTGTGTAACCAGAATGATTCATTAATAGACACTGTCATTTCCCTTAAGAACTTTCAAAAAGTCTTTTAATGTGTATAAAATGTATTGTGAAAATTTTTATATCAAACATTAGAAGAAATTTTCTTCTATTCCACAAAATACAATTTTATTTTTAGTACATCGAGTTAGTTGATTTACATTTCATTCACATGATGTTATTTAGTCTCAATTATATTTGCTTAACATATTGTATCAAAATAAGACTACCTATAAATGTTTTGTAATTGAAAGAGACTGTATAAAGCACTTAATTTAGTAATTTCTAACCATGGACCCATAGAAAGATTTGGGATATTTTTGAATTTTTATTAGTATGCAGTACAGTGGAAAAAACAGAATGGGATGTTTTTGTCTCAAAACTCTACTCTTGTTTTTTCATATTTTTGATTAGTACACAGTAGTGGTACATGATGTCTACATTCCTCTTGGAAGATTGGTACATATACATAAAACATCCTAATTTACTTTTCATCCCCTGTTCCTTCTCTACCTCCTCCCTCTATCCATTTCTTACCCCTTAGTTTGTTTTGTACATGTTTGCAAATACGATGTTTAGATTCCTTGTGTGGAACTGGTGCACTTACATAACACATCTTAATTCTTTTTTTAATCCCCATTTCTCCCCTCCATCAATACTCTTATTTTGAAAATACAAATGAATTTTTCTATTTTGAATTTGTGCTCTTGGCTTTTCTGTTAAAAATATTTTTTCAATGAAATGTTTTAATTAGAGATGAAAGTTTGTGTTTTGGTTTATGCAAAGAAAAACTGACAAATCCAAATTTGTTCAGCCTCCACTTTTTTCACTGTTTATTGAAATCCAAAGGTCTGAGAAATACTGATCTAGTCCGTAATTCACAATATATAGAAAAAGAAACAAAGGATCACCCATATTAAGTGATTCATTCCTGCAAAGTCTGAGAGAGGGAGCAGTGGAAGATCTGGAATTAACAGAGCCTTTGATCACCAATAGCATGTGCACTGGTCTTTCCAGGATTCTTTGATCTCCAGTAATGAATGATTTCATTCATCTAGAATTGTATGAGCTAAAAAACCAAGCTCCACACTGTAAATATTATTGTATTTTCAGTCTTTTTGAATTTTTTATTTATCAAGACAATAGTTATCAGAAATAGCACCTTGGAGTTCAAAACATTTACTAATTTGAAATTGAACCAGACTTATTATATATTTATACATATAGCCTCCTGATTCTATGATTTACTTTGTACATAAGTTTAAATTTTTCACCTTGACTAAAAATTGGCTGTTAAAAATATTATATATGACAGCATTTTGTGGCAAGTTTATTTAGAGCTGTACACTAAGAATGTACACTGTGTTTCTATCGTGGTTATCTCCTAGTAGTTTTTAGCATCTTTATGTTTATATGAGGCATTTTGTAAAGGTGAATGACAGCAAGGGGAAAATCCTAGAAACATGGACATCATACAATCCCTAACTGTATTTGAACTATTATATTCAGACAAGTGAGAGACTTAGAATTATTGAACTATTGTTTCTAAGGCTTGTTGAAATTCTGTGCAAGATGTGCTATCTACTAAGTGACAGAATTATAAATAAATAAATTGTGAAAATATGGGCACAAGTAAAGTATTTCAAAGATCTATGTAAAGTTCTGAAGCAGAACTGGGAGTGAGATGTGTGGTTCCTTTCTGTGTATGTGAACCTACAGGCCATGGTACCCATCTTTTGCCAGTAGTCATAGAGTTTTAATCCTGTACCAAGAACTGTTTGATATACAGTCAGAATCAGACATACTTTTGTATACTTTTTTATTGTATTGTTTCTAATACATTATCCTGCAAGTTTCAGCCTTCCTGATCTCATTGAACTTTCAATCACTTTTCTCAAGTCAAAATAGTACTTTTTACTCAATTTAAAAAGTAGTATTTTAAACTTCTAAGCCTATAAGTGAGATATAGATCCCTTCCTGTACTCTAGTCTTAAACAAATGTAACTGAAGACATATGGATTACTTGTGTTAAGGATCACAGTTTTATGATGCTTATTTTCAATATCTGAAAACAATTGTATTACATATTTTTCCAATTTTCAAATTGTTTTTGAATGGAAAGAATATTTTATATTAGTTCATCTCTCATGACCATGGCTATCTTTCAAAAAATATAATTTAAATTATGTTACATTTAACAACACAAGACATAGTATTAAAATATAATTCTATACTTTGATAATATATACTTATGATTAGTATGCATATAATTGTTAATAGTGTCCAATATAGTAATCTATTATATAATTATATAAAATTTCTATAAGTATTATACCCTATTACTTTATTGAGTTATTTTATTACTCTTATTGTTCAAATAATTACTCTTGATTTCCAATTGAATTTCATAAATTTTTCAATAGGTATAATTCTTTATAAATATCATTAGTTCAAATATTCTTTTCTGTAGATTATAATTTCCTAAGGTTTTAATTCCGAATTATTTCCTAGTTTTTTATCATTGACTTTGACTTAAGTATTATGAGTTGAAAGGTGAAATCCTGGTTTTCTTTTACTTGGCACTAGAAATTAAGAACTTCTAAAATGAGGATAGAGTTCAAATATATTTTTTATGCACATGTACATTTACATAATTATGTTTTTCTTTTCTCACGATAAATTTGCATGGAGCTTGAACTAATATATTTCTAAATTTCTATTTTCATGTGAAATTAGTTTTATTATATTTTGAGGATTAAACAAGGTTCAATAAAGCTCTTTAGCCTCAGTTTATTTAATTTCAGTAATCACAATGGTGGTAGTATTAATATTATTTAAGGGGCCAGGGATTTAGCTCAGTGGTTTCGCTGCCTGCTGCGCATGAGCAAGGACCCGAGTTCGATCCCTGGTACCAAAAAAAAAACCCCAAAAAACCCAACTAATATTATTATTTAAGAATGGAGTGCCTGTTTTAATTTATCATTTGCTGTGTATTTGAGAAGCAAAATTCTTAATGTGAACAAAAAGACATACAGATGCAATTGAAAATCATTTAACTAAAAGTTTTGTCTTTAAATTTGATCACAAATGTATGATATATTTAGATAGTTGCTACTGAATTGGTCGTTGTTTCTAGCCTTCTCATGGTGAACAGAGCTAGTCAGTTTTGCTACCTTTAAATATTTCCTACCTTTTTACAGAGAACTAGAAAAATTAATGTAGCTGCAGTGAGACCAAGATTGTCATCTTGAAATGTCAGTCTTCACTCAAAGCAACCCAGATTTAGTGGAGACATTGTCGATAGCAGGTCTCAGACAGGAAACTTGCAAGCTGAGCAAATTATATCATACCAGTTCATAAGGTAGCTATCAAAAAATAATAGAATAAATTTTAAATTGCTTAGGAGCCAAATTTTTGAGTCTTTCATTAGCTAAAACAAGTTTATTTGAGCATCAGTAATTTTGATAATTACAATGATCAAATAGGTCAAACATTTATATCTGTGAGTACATTATGACATTAAAGGACAATTGTTCACTTCCACAGGATTATAGAGACTAATTAATTTTCATGAAAATTGGTTAGTAAAGGCAAAAATTAAGTATTCTTCATTTTCTATTAATTCTAAAGTGTAACAAGATAGTTGATATGGTTCTTTATAAAATTTTCCTAACAAATGAATAAAAATGAAAAATAGTATGAGAATTTTATGTTTTCTAACCCCTAGAAAATAATTAGATCTAGGCATTAACTTTAGTCATTTATAAGATCACTGAGAGGAAAGGAGACATGTTTTTTTCTATGTTCTTGTCAAATCCTGTTTGGAGTTGCTGAAGAGACTAAATTTGATTCTGATCTTTTCTCAGAACCTCGAAACCAATTATCAGAAACACCAGAGGACAGAGAAACCATATAATTGCACCTTGAATGTGCACTCTCCAAGAACTAGACTGTGGGCAAAAGTATAGGCTTGTATAAGAGATGAATTTTAAGGAAAATAAGATGATTGAAATAAGGAAGAACTAGATCTCTGTGGATGTAATTAAAAATATTAGTCTGGAAGCCAAATATGTATTCACAAATGAAGGACTGATTCTCTAATGAGTTCTATCTGAAGGTGTGAAGGTTTACAATTTTCTTGGAAATCCAAGTTTTGCTAGAGAACCAGTAGTCAAAAGTCAACATAATATTTTACTAGCTGTTTTGAGAGTTAATTGTATAGATAGTATGAGGTAAGGCAACTTGAAAGTAACTAAGAAAACTAATCAACACTCCTTTTCCACAATTATAGTCATAGTAATATGTCATAGTAATATGGTTATTTTTCAACCCAGCAGCATATTGCAAATACTGGATAACATTTGGTCTTCTGAAATTTATAACATCTCCAAATAATTTAATCAAACTGAAATGTCTTCCTAAAATACAATTTTGATTTTAAAAATGAAAATATTACTACTCTCAGTAACAATAATATAAATAAAAAACCCAAATTCCCTGATTTTCTCTAATGCAAAGGTGGAAGAAACTCATGCAAATTCCTAATGCACACAGCAAAAATATTAAATATGTTTTTTTAAGGAAGCTCATAAGTAGAGAAGCAGCAAAGTATATATGAGCTTCCACATTGCATTATTCCATATTAAAGCATGCTTATAACTGGTTCAAGGAGCTTGACTCATTATCAGACTCCTAGAAAGACACTTCACTATAACTGCTCAAATTATTTATGAGAAACCCAAATTATAACTAAAGATCAAAATAAAAGAAATAATAGAGAGTAGAGAGATTGTTCTCAAAAAGGAAGGGGATCAAGCTATAAGGGGGGGGGTAACTGGATGAAAAAGGAATTAAGATG